ACCCAGACGGTTTCCACCCAATTTCAGGATCTTCACGGTGGAATTTTTCTTCAGAGCGTCAACGAATGCGGAGAGGAAATCCCGCGACGTGCGCTCGAAGAGACGGCAGAACGAGAACTTGATTTCTACGGAGGAAAGGTGGTGGTGGTGAGCGGCGGGGGGCGGAGCACAAACAGTCACATGACCCTGCCAATCACATGACTGTCAGAACTAGCAATAATTTCATATGTATTATTAGTATGACCTGATACATCAACATACGTCATGCTATTCGTATAATATTCATATATATTGTGCGTTATACATAGTAGCAGGTATCATCAGTTTGATGCGTTTATGTTTGAAGTATAAATTCGATTTATCTGCAGCCAATTGGTCGCCGTATACATCATTACTAAACCACTTGGTCCCGGTAGCATCGAGATTTGAATTTAGATGACTAACTGCAGGAAGACCGGTCCCTTCTCCCATCCTGCGAGGGAAATACACACACATGTAAATCTCTCCCAGACTGAGTTCAGTCTCCGGTGCAGTTACGGTGCGGTTGCGGGGCAGTTGCGGTGCGGTTGCGGTGTAGTGCAGTTGCGGTGCGGTGCAGTTGCGGTGCAGTGCAGTTGCGGTGCAGTGCAGGTGCGGTGCAGTTGCGGTGCAGTGCAGTTGCGGTTGCGGTGCAGTGCAGTTGCGGTGCGGTTGCGGTGCAGTTGCGGTGTATACTTTACATTCAAAATAATTTAGTAGAAGTTTGTTTTTGCCTTAAATAGAAACTTGGCTAAGGTCTCGTTCACACCTCGGCGTATTGCATATGCGCGATTCGCGGTAAAAAAAATTGCGCGACCGTCGCATGTTTCCGAAGGCTACTTGGCTGTATCCCAATGGAAACGCGCTACAAAACGGGCCAAAGTAGTCCCGGGACCTTTCCAGGCGCGGGCCGTTTTGTAGCGCGTTAGGGAAGGGCGCCGAGGTGGGAACCAGACCATTGCATACAATGCGATTTATATTTTTGAGCGTTTTGTAGAGCGTTCGTTGAGCGTAGAACGCGCTACAAAACGTTCAGGTGTGAACGAGGGACATATAGCGAATTGTCGCGCGATTTCCGCCGCGATATCGCGAGAAGTCGCCGGCCAATGCTATTCAATGGAGCTGTCTTAACTCCATGTCGCGGTCGCTTCTACGGGACCCTTTTTTCGGCGGATTTTGCTTTTTTTCTATGGAGCGTGTCGGAGAAGGTCGCGCTACCGTCGCGCTATCCCGGCCGCTGCAACGGTAAGTCGCTATGTGTGAACGGGGTTCTGTGCATGTTGAATATCTGTTGTCTGGGAGGTCACGTGACACGTCTGTACATTGTGTGGTTACATCCCGCGGAGTTACTGAGTTTTGTTTCATTTATTTATAATTTATTTGATTGAAACTTTGATCCAGTTGATTTCTTGTGTATCACCAATTATTGTCTTCAGGTTAGCGCAATTATCGCGTTATTATTATTGTTGATTTGTGGGAATAAGTTGGGAATCTCCCCGATTCCAGACCCCGGCCTATAAAACACTCCGGCGTGACGCACTCACCTTCAAGGCAGCCGTGACTCAGCAGATTCACAATCTCCGTCTGACAATCGACGAGGTTCAAGTCATGGAAGACGAGTCTGCGCAGCGCTGCGTTGTGTTCTACAAAGAGAGACCGCCCATTACCAGACGAGACCACGCCCACAGGCAAGACAAGGCCAGGCCCCGCCCACAGACATGACCACACCCACCTCCCCCCGCTCTGGACGATGGGCACCCCCAGTCTGTAAGCACAGTTCTGGTGGTAGTTCGGCTCATGTATGAAGCTCGGGTCACGTCTGGTAGGACCTCCCCCTTTCTATGGTCAGTCCTCCAACAGAGACCCCGAGACTTCCTTCCCCCAAAAACAAGGTCCCAAATGATGTCATATTTCGGGGAGACTTCGTGGTTTTGGACAGTTAGCTGTCTGATTGGATGATCTGTATTTCTGG